TTCTCTAAAATATAGCATTTCAACCAATCTTCACATAAGTGTCTTCCCTCCAGATACTTTTTGGCTTATCAATATTCTTGCTAAACTGTGGTTCCAAAAAGTAATAAGACTGATAAATTTAAAAGCCTGCATGCCATATTTGGGAAATAATTCAAGGAAATTTCTCAGAAGTTTTGAAAACAGAGATCAAAGTACTAATTGATAGAACTAGTAGGTTGTTAACAGAGGAAAACTTGAAGTTTAAAATTCCAAGGAATATTGTTGCTAAGTTTTATATTTTCAGCACTAATAACAAATTTTGCAAGTGACCAGGAAAAAGGCCTTTAATTCTTAAGGAAAGTCAGTGGTAATAGATCAGGATTACTTCAAATCAACAATAAAAGATACAGAATAGCTGAAAAAGTAAAATATCTCAGGATCCACCCCTAAAATAACATATTTCAATGATGAACCTATCAGTGCTCCCATTAGAATGTGAAGTCCTTGAGAGCAGGAATTATTTTTTTTGTTTTTTTCTTCCTACTTCCCACACTTATAGTACATATTTAATAAATGCTTGTTGACTGATGAATTGAGAACTCCAATTTTGACCTAATTTCTATCCTAATATATTCTTTAAATTTTCTTTCTTTTATACTCTCCTGGAGTTTCTTACTATTTTTCCATGATCTCTATGGAATATTCCAATTTTTTTTGTCTGTCTGTCTGTCTGTCTCTGTCTCTTTCTTCTTTCTTTCTTTTTAGGGGGAGGGGGACTCACTTCCTTTTAAAGCACAATATTTAAAGCACAATATGAATCTTCAAAAGAAGGCCATTTGAGTTATTTCTTTATTTTAAAAAATGAGGAATAGATTATTTAATTTTCAAATACTACAAAGAAAAGAAACACTCTAAAGGAAGTATGATTATCAAAAAAAGACTAAGCAAAGGAATCAATGATCTAATTTTCCAGGTCAAGGCAAGGCTACTATTTTTAATCTAATTGAGGAGTGAAAGAAAAAGTAAAGAAAAATGATTATTAAAGAATAAAATAATATTAAGGGATAATAATACAGTAATAAAATGAAGATTTAAGAGAACTGAAAGAGTCAGGAGAAGGAAGGCAGAAGAATTGATTTAGTAGTTTATGAACAATAAACTATGGTCTCCTACAAGTAAATCAATCATTTCAATGTAGGATAGTGGGATAGCATAATGGTAAACTACTCAAATGTGAAAAAGGAAGGCAAAAGATGGGGAGAGGGAAGAGTCCTAAGAATGAAATTCCATCTGTCAGATGCATGTGTGAAAAATGGATAATAATTTCTCAGACTCTCAAATTATATGAAAGATTGTTAGAGAGTCAGGTAAGGATAATGGAGAAGGTATTGGAGGCAGGAAATGAAGACTGATCACATCCTAGAAGAGGAAAGGAAATGGTATCATTGAAATATGTTTCCATGGTGGGAGGAGCTAGAAGAGAGACAAGTGCCTTATAATAGGTTGCATTGGGGTAAATGGATACATTGGGAGTCCTTACAAGACAACTCACTCTGAACAAAGATTGTGCTTCCCAATATGGCAACTCACCTCAGGAAAGAAAATATACATATACTGTCCTCTAGGGATGACAGAGAGAACATGGTGGGGTGGAAGAAGGTGAACAATGGAGAAGTGAGTGCTCATGATAAAAGTAGGGGATAAGATCAGAACTCCTGACTCAGAGTACAGACTGACTTCTCCAATACAGTATTACCTCTTTCTTGAGTTAATATTTGAAGGAGTGAAATACAAAAGAAGACTCCACAAAAAAATAATAAATAGTGAAAGAAAAAAATAAAGGGAAGAGAAAATAAAGGTAATATTTCAAAATGCGGGAATTCAGGAAAAGAGCAAATTCAATTTTTGTTTTTCAGAATCCATACCTTTTATAAGAAACATGTCAAGAATGAAAAAGAAACATATGAATATATGGCCATTAATGAGAGAAAAAAACTCAGAGTAACCAAATAAGGATAGAAATAAGGAAGAGGACTAAGTAAATGAATATTTCTCAGAAAAGAGTGCCACAAAAGAGTATTATTTAAGTTGAGAGGTTGATGGAGAAGAATAATGGAGGCAGATTTGGAATGACAATCTTATCTGGATGAAGAAAAAGAGGTGAAATTAGAAGGGGAGGGAGAGAGAGAAAGAGAAAGATTAGCAATTTAAGTAAATGCTGCCAATAGCTAGAAGCTGGGGATGCCCAGATATTGCAGCTTTTCGTCATCAGCACTTTAATTGCAAGATGGCATTTATTGAGAAGTACTGAATTAACTAACTCCAATGAGCTTAAGCACAATTCCAAGGATGGCTGATCCTAATTAAACTTTTTTTTTGTATGTGTTATAGAAATAATTGTCCTCCGTCCTCTGCTGATAGTATACCCTTACCTCTACCCCAACCAAGATGCTGCTAATACTATTCTGTATTATCTGGGAGCCTTAAAAGACTTCAAAAGAAGAGAATGATTTTAAATATTTACTCTTCCACCCAGTAAAACAGAGAACACAAAGTCCTACATCTGGGATGGGGTCCTTTTTTGTATCGATAGGAAAGATAAGGCTTCCTTTGCAAAATAGCAGGAAGATAATAATGCCAATTCTGTAACTGGAGTTAACATACGAGAAGCATAAAAGAAAAGTAGTTACTGATAGATACCACCAAAAATTTCAAATAATCAAAGTTGTACATCAATGACTAAATATTCACAGGGTAGAGTTAATAATATATATACTTCAAATTACTCCCATAAAAATATTATATCTAAGATATTTATTTACACAATAATGTAAGACAAAAAGCCATTTCCCAATAGATAAGAGGTCAAAGTATATAATAACATAATTTTCAAAAGAAGAAATGTGAACTATAAATGATATTAAAATGTTCCTAATTACTAATAGTGATTATTCATTACTAATAGTAAGAGAAATATAAATTAAAATAATACTCTGAGTTTACACTTTCATGTGTTAAAGTGACAAATGTCACTTTAAATTTTAAAGTTTAAAATGTGGAAATAATCAATGTTAGAATGTTGCTGGAAAACAGGCACATTATATACTGTTAGTGCCGTTATAATTTGGGTCCTGTTCTAAAAGGCATTTCAGTTTTATTTGAGAAAAGTTACTATATTTTTCTGAGTCTTTGATCCAGTAATCTGAGAACTGGGCACATAACCCAAGGACCTCAAAGACAGATCTATCATTTACATACCAAAATATCCAAAGCATCACTCAGGAGTGTGTTGTTATATATTTGAGAACTGACTTTTCTGGAGGGAAAATATATGCATGGTACATTTTTTTGGAGAGGCAATTGGAGTCACGTGACTCGCCCAGAGTCACTCAGATCCTCCTGACTTCATTGTTGGTGCTTTATCTATTGCACCATCTAGCTGCCTTATGATATGCTTTTAAGTTTGATCTACATTATTAACATCTTTTTCCATCACATTCTTAAGTCTAGACAATGAACAATAACTCAAGCCTTGATTTTTAGTCAATTGCTGAGGTATAAAAGTTTACATTGAAAATTTAACAATCAGCTCTCATAAATTGGCTTCAGCATACCCCAAGCTCTTTTGTGGTTGGAAAAACAGGAAACAAAATAGGAGTTCATCATTTGAGGAAGAATGAAACAAAGTATGGTATGTTAACATAATGGAATAATACGATACTATAAGAAATTGTGAATATGAGAGAATCAGAGAAACATGTGAAGTCTTACATGAACTAGTACAGAGTCAATAAAACAGAAGCAGAGGAAAATAAATACTGTGAGTATGATGATGTAAATCAAAACATAAATCAAATATGGCTAAACTCCAATTAAGCAAAATGCCATAGAGAACAGTTGAGGAAACATACTCTGTGTAGAGAGGTGAGGGATAAAAGTGCCAAATGCTGTAATACTGTCTGACATGACTGCTGTGGGAGTTGTTTTTCCTTATCTATTTTTCTCTGTTACAAGAGTGGATTCTATTTGGGAGTGCATATTGAGAAGTGACTCTATAGTAAAAAGTGATTTTTAAAGACCATTGATAGTCTCTGAGAAAGCAATTTCAGCAGGGTGATGAGGTCTGAATCCCTTGGGTGATGAGAAAATGGAGGCAACAAGTATGAAGAATAATTTCTAGAAATTTAACAATAAAAGGGAAAGTGGGATAAGATGATTGTTTAAAGTGATTGCAGGGTCAAAGGCAGTGGGGGTTTGTCTGTTTTCCAGGAATGAGGAAGACCTGAGCATGTCTGTAGGGAGGCAGCAAGAAGTCAATAGGTAGGGAGAGAATAAAAAGGAGAGGGAAGGTGGGGACGGGAGAGGGAGAAAGATGGGGAGAAGAGAGGGGGAGAGGAAAGGAGAGGATTAAAAGAGGGGGAGAGAAACAGAGAGACAGAGAGAGACAGAGACAGAGAGACAGAGAGAGATAAGGGCAGTGACACAGAGATACAAAGAGAACCGCCAGAGGAAACATGAGAGAATGCTTTGAAAAGAGGTTAGCCTCCACAAAGAAATGGACCACCAACCTCTTCTTCAGAAACTGAAGCACAAGATGAAAGCACAATTAAAGATGTAAAAAGATTTGAGGAAGGGAGCAGGAGATATGAGGGTGAATTAATTCCCTAACCTCATAAAATGTTAAATGTCTTATATTTCTTTGGTGATATTACTGTACTTGATCATGATAGCTGTCCTTGTCTTTTCCCTTTGAAGAGAAGCCTCCCTTCCTGCTGCATTGTAAGCAACTTGTCAACATCTTTTCCTCATCTCTCATTTTATATAGCCGTAATTAGGCATTCATGACCACAGATATCACTGGAAAATAGTTAATGGTCAAAGAGATGAAAGCCACTCCCCTGAGAGTGGAAAAGAAATTGTCATTATTCTAAATCAAGGGCCATGGAGAGTTATCAGGAATATGTCTGCTGTTCCCAAAAGTAGAGACAAAACTTTCATGTTTCTCTGATTTTTGCTTTTAGGAAATTGCTCATTGGACATCTTAAGTATCCTGAAGAAGCCTCTAGGGACTGAGTCATCAGCATATCTACAAGGTCAGTAATTGAGTTCTTCTTATGCAATCCTTCAAATCTTAAATCTGGCTTCCTTGTTTCAGTCATGTCCAACTCTTCATGATCCCATTTGGGGTTTTCTCTGCAAAGACACTAGAGTGATTTGCCATTTCCTTCTCCAGCTCATTTTACAGATGAGGAAACTGAGGCAAATAAGGCTAAGTGACTTGCCCAGGGTCACACAGCTAGTAAGTATCTGAGGTCAGATTTGAACCAGGTCTTCCTGACTCTAGGCGTGGCACTCCATCCACTAAAACTCCTAGCTGTTTACCTAACTTCTAAAGATCATTTTCCTATTTAGTTACTGATAAAGGAAGGAAGGAAAGAAGGAAGGAAGGAAGGAAGGAAGGAAGGAAGGAAGGAAGGAAGGAA